CGTTGCGCGGCAAGGCCAAGGCTCCGTCGAGCCGAAGCACCGCTTCGAATATCTCTTCAGCTTCGTCGCGGGGAAACGACGGCTCCCAGTAGGCGCGGGGCGCCCTTCTGGGGAAGAACTGAGTTCTGTTGGGCCTCCGGGAGGCAAGGATGGGCGGAACTCAGCCCCGCAGAGAGCTAAGCTCTCTCACTCTATGAGTGTATGTAAACCTGGTTTACTAGTCGTTCAAGCGAACGTGAAAGGCTTTGATAAGCCATGGAGAGTCTTAATTGACTCGGGAGCGTGAACTATGTTCGGCGCTCCACGGTCGAGGGATATCGACCGTAAATCGAGGCACGGCAGGTGCCGAACAGAGATATGATCTCTGTCCGTCTAGCGACGGGAACACTCGTTACGGTGTCGAAGGTCTCTATAGACCTTAATGTGAAGTTCTTAGATTTTGACAGCGTTGAACGCTGCTTGGTCTTGGCCCTGGATGGGAGGTATGACCTCATCCTTGGCATGGCGTGGCTTGAGAGCCACGAGCCCTGGATCGACTGGAAGTCGAAAACGTTAGGCGCTACGCGCTCGTCTCCTAGTGGAGCATTGGCGAGTCATGAACCCACCTCTGCTAAGAGACAGAAGCGCTATTGGCGCGGGCACAAGGCCGAGTCGGCCATGGTGCTGGACATTGGAATGTCTGAAATGGTAAGCAACGAAGTTGCAGTCGGTTGTGAGGGTGCGCAAGTCGTAGCGCCCCCTCTGTTGGGCGGTGTTAGTAGGATCGTTGACCCACCGCTGTGTCCTGTGAACAACTGTGGAGCGGCACGGAAACCGCAGAACGGTGTTAGTAGGGTCGATGGCCCACCGCTGAGTGTCTTGTATGACACTGTTCGCTCTCTGAGGAGTGCAGGTGTGTTGCCACCTAGGCCAAGCGACGGTGGTAATGTCGCCAGACCATCTTCGTCCAGTCGTGCGCGGGCGAGGAGAGAGAGGAGGAGGAGACGCCGAGCGTCCATGGCGTCTATGACGTCGGACGAGACGTCCAGCGTGTCGAGCGGTGAGGCTCCACGCGAACACACTCGTCAAACGGAGTGACAGGGAATGTCGACGGAGACATCCGTCTCGAGCGACTTCCGTCTGTTGATGTCCTTTTAGATCTGGACGAGATGTCCGTCGCCGAGCTTGGCAAAGCCTTAACGGCCGGTGACCTCGCCGAGGTGGTCATGATACGACCCGAGGAGGAGTTGAACTCCTCGTCCGCCGTGGACGAAGCTGTCCTTGAGGACACGAAACGGGCGCTTAGCAAGAGAAGTGGATCAGCGATCCTTAAGGATCCATCGGATCCGTTCTATCCTTTGATTAAGGAATACCACGACGTGGTGTCAAAGGACCCGCCGGCGGGTCTGCCTCCTGATCGAGGCGTGCGTCATGAGATTGACGTGGTTCCCAGAACCAAATACTGCGTTACACGGCGGTGGCCCTTGCCAAGGGAGCAATGTGACGTCATTGACGCGTTCTTCCGTGCTAAGCACAACTCGGCTTGGTGCGTGAGAGTAAATATCCGCACTCGACACCTACGTTCTGTGTCCGAAAGCCTAATGACAAGTGGCGCATTGTGCATGTTTTTAATAAGCTGAATGCCGCCACTATTCCGGCGCAAACGCCGATTCCTCGTAAGGATGTTCTTCAGAACAACATGGTGGGATGTACGTTGTACAGCGCGCTCGACTTGGTCGATGGGTATTATCAGTTGCTCATGCGAGCTAGCGATATACCTCTCACAGCAGTAAGTACCTCCGAGCGGTAGGCTCTAGGAGTGGTTAGCGATGCCCTAAGGGCTATCGAACACGCCAGCAACGTTCAATCGTTTGGTGACGCAGTTGTTCCGGCCCCATTGAGCGTACGCTCAGACGTACTTCGACGATATTTTCGTCAATAGTCGTGCTGAGCACGGGAGGTCTGACGTGGAGAACCACATTGACCATTTGCGAGCGGTGCTCGAGTGCATGCGCACTAATACGTTGTATGCCAACTTGGACAAATGCGTCTTCGGCGCAGAGGAAATACCTTTCCTCGGATGCTTCATTGGGAAGCGAGGCCTTAGGGCAGATCCTGCCAAGGTCAAGGCCATTGTGGATTGGCCGGTTCCCGTGAACCAGAAGGACTTACGCAAAGTGTCTTGGCTTAGCCAATTACTTACACAAGTACAGCGCCAACTATGCCGAGATGGCGAGGCCATTGTCCAATCTCCTTAAGAAGGATGCACCTTGGTGTTGGGATGTCGTCCA